ATTACAAATTTGAAGGACTTATGATGAAAAATGCTATCTACCTCCAGAGAAAGAATTGATGGAATCTGTATGCAGATTGAAGCATACTGGGTTTTTTGCTTTTTTTTTTTTTGTTTTTTCGGTGGGTTTTTTTGTTCTGTGGTTTTTTTCACAGCATGACTAAATATGGAAATATGTTTTGCGTGACTACACCTATATCAAATAGCTCAGGGTGGGACAGAAGGGAGGGAAGGAATTTGGAACTCAAAATTTTGAAAAATGACTTAATCGTTCTTACATGTAATTGAAAAAAAATTAAATTTCATCTTATTCGATTCCTTTTACTCTAAACTGTTGAGGCTTTCTTTAGTACTATCTTTCAACATATTATTGATATGTCCCTTGAACATTTGACAAGTAAGACTTCTGTGCCTTTATCCATGTCTAATAAAAATGCTGAGCAGCAGGCCAAGCACAAATTCTTGGGGCACTTTACTAGGGACCTTCCCCTAATTCATTAATGACTATCTAGTCTTTTTTTCCCCCATCATTCAATCAGTTTCAGACCGGATTATAAATTTAGAGCTGGAAGGGAGATTAGAGGTCCTCAGCTCTAGCCCCTTCATTTTACAAATGAGGAAACTGAAGCTTAGGGAGTGTTTTGCGCATAGCTGTACAGGGAATGTGTCAGAGGTGTCTTCCTGACTTCAGCTCACAATCCAGCTCACGATGCTGCTTGGCGTGTTTTGTCATCTAGCCCACCTCTTCAATACTGTCCACAAAGATAGTGTAATTGGGGTCTGGCATGTACACAGACCCCACTGGTTTGCTTACTTGATGCAACTTTACACAATGACATGGAAGTACCTTGGAAAGACATTTGTGGACATTCTGTACATGGTTCCAGTCAGCTAACCACATTTTGAAGAAAGTACTCGTTCATTATCTGTAGAGGAACTTTTAAAAGGCTTATCAGTTTTAGTCACTTCCTCTTGGACTCCTTCTACCATTCCTTTGATCATGGCTTCTGGTGAGAGACAATACTGTAAAGGAGTAGTCATGAGGTCATTCATTATTCATCCGAAAGCTTTGCTTTGTGAATTGGGACTCTGTGCCAGGGCCAGGGTCCAACCCCTGATGCTCTTTGGGATGGGGTAGTTGAGCCCTGCTTGGTCTCACCCTGGACCCCTTGGGTTCCTGTACTGACTTCCATGCCTAGACTTTAAGCCTCACCTTCAAGATCTTTGAAATTCAGAGTGCTGGATCTTTTATGGCATCTAAGGACAGGGGGCTAGGAATCTGAGACTCCTGGGAACCTGGGTTGTCTCAGTCTTCACACTACACTATTCATGATAAATTTCAAAGGCATCTCACGCCAAGTGTGATGAGCAGTGTACAAACTAGAAGCTTGAACAATATTCCAAGCACTTTTCTCCTGCCATCAATATATAACTGGCTCTTCTCCTTGCCCACTGTAGAATTTTGTTATCATACTGTTCATTCACCCAAAGCATACATTTTTACATGATTTTCATGTAATTTTCATCCTGAATTTTTTGCTTTCACTCACTCCATGCACTGAAGTCTTGTGGCATGGCCAATATCTATTACTCCATGTAGATTAGGATGGTTTTCCCCTAAAAAGGCAATGAAATTGCCCTTGAGACCTAATTAAGACTAAGGCTTAAACCATTGACATAGTTTTCCAGTTGACTAAGGTACAGAAAGCTCAGCTTGTGAGTAGCTGATGCTCCTCAGCCTTGGCAGACTCCTTGCTGCTGTAGAAGTTCATGAATCCTTCTGACCAGATGCATTACTGTGGAAAATATAGAGGTGTGGGAAGCTGTGTCCACCCGAACCAATGCTGTATTCATGCCAAGTATCCTTTCCATGCTATTGTTAAGTAAACTTCTTTTTGTTAAGTGTTAAATGGTCAGTGAGTGTCTCATTTTGTTCTAATTCTGAGCCTGAACCATCAGACCAACCTGAGTCAGGCTTCCACCAGAATGAGTTTCAAGCAAAGCACAAAGCATGAAGACTCGAGCTCCCCAAAGTTATGGAAGATATCTTGTGCCAAGTGCAAATAGAGGAGTTCCCTCTAGATAGTCAAGTTCTTTGTGAGCTCCTGTTTGAAAAGAGATGAATGTTGATGACAAGGAGGACCACAGCATTATAGGGACTCCTTCGTGAGGTCTACGGCCATTCAAAAGAGATCAACTCTGCAGTGTACACAGGAAAAGCCAAGGGGTTGAAGAATACATGTAATGGGCAATCCAAATTGCCTACAGTATGACATGCCCGTCAAATTAGTCCATAAGCACATGTATCTTAGATAGGCCCTTAGCTGGACAATGAACTGAACCCAGAATTGAAGAGTAGGAGAGTGAGAAATTGAGTAGCACTTAAATCCTAGGCTGCTTCCTGACATCAAAACCCATCTTTCTTATTACTACAGGCTAGTAGGTGGCACAGTAGATAGGGTGCTGGGTTTGGAGTCTGGACTTTCAAATCCAGTCTTAGACACTAACCAGTGTGTGACTCTGGGCAAGTCACTTAATTTTTCTCAGCCTCAGTTTCCTCATCTGTAAAATAGGGATAATGAGAGCATCTATCTCACAGGATTGTTGTAAAGATAATTTATATAAAGCACTTCTGTACTTACTACCTATTAAAATCAGTATTCTTAGGGGCGGCTAGGTGGCGCAGTGGATAGAGCACCAGCCCTAGATTCAGGAAGACCTGAGTTCAAATCCGGCCTCAGACACATAACACTTACCAGCTGTGTGACCCTGGACAAGTCACTTAACCCCATTGCCTAGACAAAAAAAAAAGATAAACATTCTCCTGGTGTTATGTGGCTTCAAATCATGGAGCATCATACCATTTTTAAATTGTCATCCAATTTTTTTAAATTCAGAACTAAAATTGCATGTGACTCAAAGGGCAACAAAAAGATGAATGATGGATGTATGCAGGTTGCAGCATGTTATAAAAAATGACTTGAGTCCAAGGAGTGGCATCAAATGCTTCATCCAGGACATGTGTGAGCCAATCATGCTCCAAGAAAAGACAGATGGACAGTCCAAATGTTATACTGGTATCCATGAAAGGTTAAAATACCTTGAGAGAGACCTTTAGCACATTGAGCAAATATTGTATAGAAGTTACAGCTTGTAAGTTATAGAACTGGGATTCATACCCAGGTTCTCTGATTTGACATTCAATGCTCTTTTCACCAGGCCATTCTGCTTCCCAAAGCCTTAGTCCATGTCTTTGGTAGGGATTAAATGCAGTCCTACTGGATGGCAGGGACCATGAACACCTATGCACAGGTCTGATCATGTCACTCCCCAGCTCCTTTTTATCCTTGTCTCTGGAATGAAATAAACTTCTCAGCCTGGCATTTAAAGCCCTTCACAGATTGACTCCAACCTATTTTTCAAGATTGGTTTCACATTAATTCCCCTCACATTCCATCCAGACAGATTTACTTTCTGTTCCTTGTACATGACATTCTTTCCCCTGGAAAAGAGCCTTTGCCCCAGGTTGTCCCCCAGACATGGAATCATCCACCTCCTCATGGAATCCCTAGTTCCCTTTAAGTCCCAGCTAATACATGAATTCCATTGTGAAGCCTTTTCTAATCTTCCCAGTTGTTCATGTCTTCCCTGCCATCCCTCCAAATAAATCACTATTTTAAATTGACTAATCTAGCTATATGTCTGTCCTTAGGAGCATGTCAATTCCTTAAGGGTTAAGTACGGCTTTATTTTTGTCTTTATATTCCAGGTAGCTCACAAAGTACTTTGCTTATGGTAGTACTTATTTAAAATATTTTATGAATAAATGTCTCTTTTAGCCTTTTAGAAGAGGCTGCTGGAAAAATTGTTAATATTCAGAGATGAACTGATGGCTCCATGGGAAGAATGCTGGATCTAGAGTTAGAGGACTTAAAGCCAAATTCTGACCCTGCTACTGTCACCTGGGTCACTTAACTCTCTCCATCTCCCTTGAAATGAGGGAGTGGGACGAGGTGACTCGTATGTACCTTCCATTTCTAAATTTGAGATCCTATTATCTTTAGCCCCCACAAACCCCTGCAGCAGCCCAGTCCCTCTCCCCTCACTCTTGAGCATTTCCAGATGGCTCCACAAGCCTTGTTAACTCTGGGCTGTGATACCACAGGCTCAAGGAAGCAGATTATTTGCTTTTCAGGGTAAGCATTTACAATTTAGGGCTTGGTTTGTTGTTTTGTTGGTTGTCTAGACGTAAGAAAGTGATGGAGAAAAATGTTAGTGATGAAGATTAAATTTAAAAGTGTGCCACGAGTACATTTCCCTCCCCAGCTCCCAACCCCATACACCAGAGAACCAGCTGCTAAACATTTACCAACACACCCCTTCTTGTAACCTTTCGCTGCTACTTGGCCACCCAGGCCTTCCATCCAGAGCTACCTTATCCCTGGTCAATCGTAGTGATTTTTAAAAATGTTTTATTAATGTTTTATTTATTTTGTCAAACATTTTCCAGTCACATTTTAATCTGGTTCTGACTACTCTCAAGAGTTTTTTGAGTGCCACAAGCTTGACACCTCTGATATAAGGGATGCAGTCAATTATATGTATGATTGAAAAAGATGATCTTGTCATGGAGCATAACCAAAGAACAGCCGATGTTCTCCATTGATATTCTTTTTTTTTTTTTGGTGAGGCAGTCAGGGGTTACGTGACTTGCCCAGGGTCACACAGCTAGTATCAAGTGTCTGAGGCTAGATTTGAACTCAGCCCCTTCTGACTCTAGAGCCAGTGCTCCATCCACTGCACCACCTACCTGCCTTTAACATTCATTTAAAAACTTTTTTTTTTGTTCCAAATTTTCTCTCTCCCTTCCTCACCTCCCCCTTCCCTGGGAATGGTAAGTGCACTCGTTCAGCTCAGTGGCTGTGAGAGTCTTAAACTCTCCCTCCCCAGGAATGCTAAGGCCGGCTTAGTTCCTCGAGCAGTGAGAGGCAGCCAGACAAGATGGTGAAGCTCCGTTTATTCAAGGCGCAGCACAGCGTTTTTTATCTTTGACTCATGGGAACATACCCCAATGTAACAGCGGACAAAGCAACAAAGTTTACATATCTTTACCAATAGGCACCACCGAGAATTTTTCTCATGCGAATACCAATCGAAGTATCAACAAGCCATTTCTTTGCAACGTTATCTTGCCTGTGTCCTTCTCCCGCGCTGTTCCCGTAAAAACACCATGTACTTCTTGTTCCCGGAATGTCCCAATACCTGATACAGAAGCTAGCAATACCTGATACATGTTTGTGCTAGAGCTGACTGTGCTTGAGCTAGCAACATTGTTTTATAGTATGAGCTCGCCCAGCGTCAGAGTTTTGCTGACTGGGAGGTGCAAGGTCCATGGACAGAGAACTGAGCTGGGATATTCTGCTCACGTACTAACACCTGAGAGGGGCCTTCGCCCATCAGTGATGTCTCAGGAACAGCCTGTGGTCCTCAACGTCCTACAGATCCCTAACAGGTAAGCAATATGATATAGGTTACACGTGTGCAATCATGTAATCAGGCAAAATATACTACCATATTAGTTACAATTATAGTGATTCTACCAATCATTATGGTATTCTGTCAGCAGGAAGCATCACTAAAGTGTCCTTAATGACTGATAATTGCCAAGAGTATTTGCATTTTAATAGGAAATGATTGAAGCCTTTCCTAATCTGGCCAGTTGTTTGTGTCTTCTCTGACACCTCTCCAAATAAATCACTTTGTATGTATTTTAAATTGACTAACCTAGTTATATGTTTGTCCTTAGGAACATGTAAATTCCTTCAACCTTCTCAGGACACTCTGTAAGGCTAGCTGTGGGTGGGTAGCTCTGGACTGCCTAAGAGGCACATAGGGTTTGGTTCCGTTCTGAGACCTGCTGAGGCACTCAATAAATGCCTGTAGAATGACTAACAGGAAAAAAAAGCAACAAACATTTCTCTGTGCAGGTTCAGAGCTATGCTAAAGGTGTGGCAGGTCTCTAGAGCATTTAGGTATTCAGTCTGCACTTGAACTTGTAGACTGTGTGATATAGTGTTAAAAGCATTGGATTTGAAATTAGAAGACCTGGAAGTGAAAATGCCAGCTCTGCTACTTAGCTACTTGTGTGATCATGGACACTTACCTTTTTTTGGGCCTTGGTGTCTTTGTCTGTAAAAATGAGGGACTTGAGACGAAATTATTTCTAAGGTTCCTTCTAACTCTACCCTAGGATTTTATATTTTGCTGATTCATCTCCCATGGATTGTTAAACTACTTGCAGGCACAGACTGTGTTTTCTTTTTCTGTGCTGTCCATCCCTAAATCCTATCCAGTGTCTTATGTGGTGTAGACAAGAAATATGGAAAAAGGCTATAGATTTAGAACTGTAAGGGAGCCTAGAAGTTATCTAGTCTGACCAATCCAACCAATGAGAATTTATTAAGTGCCTACTAAGTGCCAGAGGCAGCTAGGTGGTTCAATGGATCGAGCACTGGGACTGGAGTTGGGAAGACATGAGTTCAAATCTAATCTCAGACTAACTTCACACTAGCTGTGTGACCCTGGGTAAGTCACTTAACCTGTGCCTCAATCTGCTGAAGAAAGAAGTGGCAAGGGGCCGCTAGTTGGCACAGTGGGTAGAGCACTGGTCCTGGATTCAAGAGGACCTGAGTTCAAATCTGCTTCAGATACATAACACTTACTAGCTGTGTGACCCTGGGCAAGTCACTTAACCCCATTGCCTAGACAAAAAACAAAGAAAGAAAGAAAGAAAGAAAGAAAGAAAGAAAGAAAGAAAGAAAGAAAGAAAGAAAGAAAGAAAGAAAGAAAGAAAGAAAGAAAGAAAGAAAGAAGTGGCAAACCACTCCAGTATCTTTGCCAAGGAAACCCCCTATGGAATCATAAAAAGTTGGACGCGGTTGAACAAATGCCAGACCCTGGGCTATATGAAATATGATCCAATTATATTAATTTTACCAGTAAGAAAACTCAGCCCCAGAGGTTTTGTAACTTGCTTCAAGGTCACAAAAGTGACTTTGAAGGGCTAGGATTTGAACCAGGTCATTTGACTCCAAATCCAGTGTTCTTTTTCTTAATTTATTTTTTTTTGGTGAGGCAATTGGGGTTAAGTGACTTGCCCCGAGTCACACAGCTAGTGGGTGTTATGTGTCTGAGGCTGGATTTGAACTCAGGTCCTCCTGACTCCAGGGCCAGTGCTCTATCCACTGTGCCACCTAGGTGCCCCCCCCATGTTCTTTTTCTTTATGTACTCTGGGGATGGGAAGTGGAAGTGGACAATTAAGACAGATAACAATAAATGGTATACATGACTGAGAGACCCTGAATTCTCCTTAAAAGTAAGATTGATTCCCATTAGATTTGATGGTCAAAGGATTTGAAATCGAGGAAATGGTTGCTGTCCTTTGTTCTTGAAGAGGACGAAAACGACATCACTATGTTGGAGTTGTATACAGTATGTCTGACTGTGGCTGGTCAGAGCAACATGAGCTTCGAAGGCAGGCCCTACCACAGGTCGGGCACAAATAATCCACCTGAACATTTGGGGTAGAAATGTCTTTAAATCTGCATGTCTCACATTTCTTTTGAGGTACTACAAGTCTGCTTCCGTCATATAGCACAGCGCCTTCTTTGATGCAGGCCCACCATGCTGGCCAGTCTTTTGGTCAAAGGATATGAATAAACAGTTCTCAAAAGATCAAATGCAAACTACTAACACCCACATGGAAGACTGCCCCAAATCACCAAGCGTAAGAGAAATGCAAATCAAGACGATCCTGAGGTTTCACCTCATGCTCAGGAAATTGTCAAAGACGACTAAAGATGAGAATAGTCAATGTGGAGAAGGTGTGCAAAGACAGGGACACTAACGCATTATTGGTGGAGCTGTGAAATGGCGCAACTATTCTGAAAGCAATTTGGTATTATGTAAATAATTGTGTATAAAATTTCCATATTGTTTGATCCAGAGATTCCACTGCTAGGCAGTAGAATGATCTCCAAGGAAATCATTGACAAAAAGAAAGGCTCCCTATAGAAAAAAATATTTATAGCAGCATTGTGTGTGTGTGTGTGGGGGGCAGCAAAGAACTGGAAGCAAAGTAAGTGCTCATCAACTGGGGAATAGCTAAACAAATTATGATACATAAACGTAATGGAACATTATTATGCTGTCAGAAACAACAAAAATGAATACAAAGAAGCATGGAAAAACTTACATGAACCAATGCAAAATGAAGAAAATAGAGCCAAGAAAACAACATACACAATGATCCATCAACGTACGTGGAAAAAACCACTGACAAACGACAAAAGATGAATGGGGAATTATAAAGAGCAAGCTTGTCTCAAGAGATTTGAAAATATACCTCCCCCCATCTTATAAACATGGAGGTTCCACAAGTGTGGAGTATTGCATATAACGTCAGATAGTTTTCAATCAGTTTCGTTTTTTTTTTACTCTTCCTTAAAAAACAAAAAAATCTGGTGTAAGTGATGGTTGTCTATGAGGAGTGTGTGGGGAGGGGCATGGGGGAAATTAAGCATTATAAAAACAAAAGGTACCAACAAATATTTCATTTTTAGAAGTTCATCATTGAAGGAAGACTGCAAAACTTCTGGAGTCATCCTAGAGACTCTCTTAATTAATTTTTCTTGCTCCAGCTGTTTCTTTCACCTGATCAGGTGACTTTCTTTTTTTTTAAATTATTTATTTAGTTTTAAACATTCACTTCCCCAAGACTTTGAGTTCCAAATTTTCTCCCCATATCTCCCCTCCACCCACCTCAAGACTTCATGTAAATTGATATAGGATCAATATGTACATTCATATTAAACCTATTTTCACATTAGTTATATTGTAAAGAAGAATTAGAACCAATGGGAGAAACCACAAGAAAGAAGAAACAAACACAGAAAAAAAAAGATGGAGAGAGAGAGAGCAAATAACATGCGTTGATCAGCATTCAGACCCTATAGTTCTTTTTCTGGATGTGGACAGCATTTTCCATCATAAGTCTTTTGGAGTTATCTTAGATCCTTGCATTGCTGAGAAAAGATAAGTCTATCAAAGTTGGTCATTGCATAACGTTGCTATTACTGAGTACAACGTTCTCCTGGTTCTGCTCATGTCACTTAGCATCAGTTCATTTAAGTCTTTCCAGGTTTTTCTGAAGTCCACAACAGAACAATATAGAACAATAGTGTTCCATTACATTCATATACCACAAATTGTTCAGCCATTCCCCAGTTGAAGGGCATCCCCTCAATTTCCAATTCTTGGTTATCACAAAAAGAGCTGCTATAAGTATTTTTGTACATTTGGATTCTTTTCCGATTTTTATGATCTCTTTGGGATACAGCCCTAGAAGTACTATTGCTGGGTCAAAGGGTATGCCCTTTGTGCATCGTTCCAAATTGTTCTCCAGAATGGTTGAATCAGTTCACAACTGCACCAACAATGCATTAGTGTTCCAATTTTCCCACATCTTCTCCAGCATTTATCATTTGCCTGTTTTGTCATGTTGGCCAATCTGATAGGTGTGATGTGGTACCTCAGAGTCATTTTGATTTGTATTTCTCTAATCAATAGTGATTTAGAGCATTTCTTCCATATGATTATAGATAGCTTTAATTTCTTACTCTCAAAACTTTCTGAAAGAGAAGTAAGTAATATCTGTTTCTTGAACACAAGCTTAATTTTGGCCAGTCTGGTCAACCTTCACTGGTTTTCTGCCAGCCAGTCAAGTGGCATCCCATCTCCTCTGCTCCAATCTAGGTTGCTATTCCCTTATCTAACACTAGATGTCTGTAGTTCTCTGTGTTACCTGACTTTCAGCATCCGCAACTCCTAGTTATATTGCACTACCAATGTCACTCAATTCTTGGTTTCTGAGGGGTATTCTGGGAGAGTCTCCAAAAAAGTTCTAGCATCCATTACTAAATCTTGAATCTAGAGAGACAGACAGAAGCTAAAGCTGAAAGGCAAGTTTTAATTATCATCTAGAAAAAAAAAGTATCTTTTATTCCAGAAGGAAATGGCATCTCCACAAGCCTCTTTTTCTGCTTGGGCTTTCCTCTTTTGCTCCTTCAGTTGCTTCCCAGCGTTTGTCAAGGGCGGTGTTTCTGCTGCGTTCTTGCCTTCAGATGATTGGAGTATTTGATTAGTTTGAAAACAGCGTCATTCATTTGAAGGATGTGTGCTTGTGTTTGGGAGAATGAGTGCGTTACATGTCAAGGAGGACTTGGGGAATTGAATGTTGGAGTTCATACATATATCCAGGTTGAGAAATAGCAGAGACAGAAAGATTTCTAATGATCCAAAGCATTGTTTCTGGGTAATTAAGGGAAGTTTCCTTAACAGAAATGGCAAAGGCAGTATCACCTATGTCACTCTAAAGGAGGGTCCGAAGGATTTTTCTTTAGATCAGTGACTTTGATGGGAACATAGTGGCCAGATTTGCAGATGACAAAAAG